TCTTGCCCTCTCACTGTCTCTGTTTCTCTCTCTCTCCAGCAAGTACATGTACCCTATGGCAAAACCTAACAACAACAACAACAACAAAATAGCTTTAGGGGACGGCAGGTGGCATAGTGGTTAAGGCTCTGGACTCACACATGGCCGACTGGGCTGTGAGTCCTGGACCATCCGGCTTGAAAATCACACCGGGTGCATGTATGTCCCAAAATCCCAAGGGGAGAAGGGACTGTGGCATGGCCATCCTCCCAGACAGAGGGTGATTTCTCATTTCACCTCTATATCTGTTTAATTCTGGCGAGTGAACATGCCCAATAGCAAAAACCTTAAAAAATGCATTAGTGTTTTAGAATTATGGGTGATTAGAGAAAAGCTTCCCATTACAATAATATATGTGCATTGTCAAAATGCTGGAAAATATAAGAAATTACAATTAAAAGAAAAATCCTACCACCAAATGACAACACTGTCAATCATGCATCCCAGCCTTCTCACTGCATACCTGTGAGGTCCCGATGACGGCCCGAGTGTGGACGGAGCCCTCCCCAGCTGCACCTCACCACCGCACCTTTCTGTACGGCTTGTCCATGGCGGGGTGTCGTGGGCCTAGAATCTAAGACAGAGCAATGAACAGATATGGCCTTCCTGATCAATCGCTCATGTCTGAGCAATCCCAGGACGGAGCCCAGGCAGCAGTCAAGAGGAGATAGTCCTAGGGGCCAGCAGGTGGCAGAGTGGGTACAACTCTTGACTCCCACATGGCCTACTGTGGTTTGAGTCCCAGACCTGGAGGCTTGAAAATTACACCAGCCCAGTGTACGTGCGTGCCCAAAATCCCAGGAGGAGAAATGGAGGAGAAGGGATTATGGCAAGGCCATCCCTGCCGGGGGTGATCTCTCACTTTTCCTCTCACGGTCTCTGTCTCTGTTTCTCTCTGGTGACTGCATGCACCCTAGGGTGAAAGGGAAGGGAAGGGAAGGAGGAGAACCCAGTGGGCATTAGTCCATCCCCGTTTTACAGGCAAGAAAACTGAGGAGGGAGGCACTGCCTGTCTTGCCCAAGGTCACACCAGAATTAAGGTTTCGGAATTCGGCTTAGAACCCAGGAAGTCTGACTTCTGCTCACTCCTCAACGCTGTAATAACCTCAGAGGCAATACACTGCTAAAATGCTACGTTGTGACATTTCACATCCCTGCATAGGTCTGGCTGGTCTTAAAGTTAGGATATTGCACAGAGTTTTCAAAATAGAAGGCAAGTACTCGAGACTGTCTTTAATTTTCACAGAATACTTGAATTCCTGAGACAGCTGGAGAAGCCCTGAGGAAGTTCAATGTTGGGATGTTCCGATTGTGTAGAAGATTCCTTTCTGCCTTGAAGCTGATTCTTTTCTGTTTCACCCACCCTAATTCAAACCCTTGGAGTCAACTCAGAATTAAGACTTAACTCCTATTCCCCCATTCCTGGTGATATCAAAATGGGAGTTGTCGTGAAGTTTGTGTTTGTTGTGTGTGTGTGCTGGTTCAACGCAGCTTCGGCACCAGCGCATGGTGTGGGGGGGAAGGAGCTGGATCCCACGTGGCCACCCGTGCAGCTCAAGTACAGACAGGCAGTTTAAGAGACGTCAGGCACACGTGTGCACATGCGAACACTTGCGTGTATGTGCCCAAGATCCCCAAAGGAGGGAGAAATGGAGAAGGGATTACAGCATGACCATTCCCCATGCTTTCTCACTTGCCCTCTCTCTCTCTCTCTCTCTCTCTCTCTCTCTCTCTCTCTCAGGTGAGCACATGCACCCTCTGGCAAAATTTTTTTAAAAGGAAAAAGTGCATTTATTGGTCCGGCAGGTCGGTGTGGTGGTTAAGGCACTTTTACATGGCCAGCCAGGATTCTAGTCCCGGTCACAGCAGCTTGAAAATCATGCTGGGTACATGTGCGTACCTGCCCAAAATCCCAGCAGGAGAATAGAGGAAAAGGGACCGTGGCATGGCCATCTTCCTGGGAGGATTTCTCACTCTACCCTTCCCATCTCCAGCTAGTGCACACACCCTATAGCAAAAGCCTAAAAAAGAAAAAACGTATTTATAACCATAGATCACAGGCAGTGTGTTTAAAAGATGAACCCTCTCCAAACGAGATCTCTTTGGCTTCTGTACTACCTCCGTGTAGCAAGAGGCTCCCTCCCCTCCTGTCCTCAGCATCATCCCCCGGTCATCATCGCCAGATTCATCTGGGTTCTGCCCAAACCACTTTATTGGAATGGCTTCCCTGGCCACCCTCTCTCAGGAGGCACCACCCCATGTCTCTCTAGCCCCTTATTCTGCTTTATTTTTTTCAAAGTGGTTTCGCCATCCCGCATTCTGTGGTGCCTGTGTCACTTTATCCATTCGTGATCGTCCCCAACTGAATGTGCATCGCTAATCTCCTTTTACTTCTGGGCACACAGAGGTTGCCCAGGAACTATTTGTGAGCACAACGCCACCACACTCTAGCAGCAGTGTGTACAGAGGGGCTCATAATGCAACTTTTTTTTTTTAAGAATTATTTAATTTTTACTTATCAGTATTATTATTTTTATAGCCAGGAAGTAGAAATTATTTTAATAATAAAATTTATTTATCATTTTTAAAAAATTTTCTACAGGGCACGTGCACTTACCAGAGAGAGAGACAGAAAGAGAAAGTGAGAAAGCAAGCCACCAGGTCCGGATTCGAACTGTGGTCACCCATGTTGCAGTGCAGCACCCTAAGAACCACACCATTTGCTGGCCCCCATAGTGCAAGCCTTTCCTTCAGAAGGTGGATTCTGAATGTCTTTAACTCACAGGATTACAACTATAGGCATGTTTTCCTTCTACCATCTCTGTTTCAAAAAATAAAATGTGCTTCAGTTTTATTACATATTTTATACATTTACACATATTACTGTACATGATATATCAGTATATACTAAACCATGCATACTGCTACTTTATATGGACTGTTATGGGATTTTCGGAGTTTTGATTATAGGCAATTTTTATATAGTCAGCTATAATGCTATCGTGCTATCTTGGAAGCATTTTACATTTTTCAAAGCACCCTCTGGTTAAAGAAAAAATTTTAAACTACTGATTTACTTTTTTATAGGCGGAGAAAGTGAGTCAGAGATCCGGAAGAAATCTCAGCGCCGGTTAGTGACCACTAGGTCCCTCTCTCACCTTTCATTTTACAGATGGGTAAACCAAGGCACAGAGCAGGGAAGAACACTGAGGGGCACCCAAGGAGCTGGAGTGGATTTGGGATTAGAATTTAGGGACCAGCAGTTGGCATAATGGCTATGTCGCTGGACTCCCAAGTAGTCAACCGCGGTTCAAGTCCCAGACCCGGTGGCTTAAACTCACGCTGGGCGCATGTGCGTGCCTGCCCAAGATCCCAGAAGGAGAATGGAGAAGGGATTGCGGCGTGGCCATCCCTCCTGGGGGTGATTTCTCACTTTCTGTCTCTCTGTCTCTTTCTGACGAGCGCACATGGCCAATAGCAAAAAGTCTCTCCCCTCCTCCCCCAAAAAAGGACTCAGCTCTTGGCTGTCCACCCACGTCTGACACCAGAGCTCCAAACGTTTGTGCACTGGAAGAGGCTGGGGCGGAGGGACGGACGCTCACACGCTCGCGGCCCGCCCTGGGACCCACCTAGCTCTGCAGGAAAATCCCGCGCACACTCGGAGGCCGGCCTCCCAGGCTCATCTGCCTCCTAACAAGCTCAGAGCGCGGTCCCCAGCCGGGATTGCCTCCTACCTCGGCGGGTCCTGGGGGCTCAGTCTGGCTGGCCCAACCTCCCCGTCACCGTGACAACCACGGGCCAACAGCGCTGAGCCCACCTTCCGGCCGCCGTGAGTAACGCCAGCCAATGGTGTCCTTCGTTTCTTTAGCATGAGAAGTTGTTGGCCAATCGATGGAGGCGTTTCAAAATCCGCAGGGAAACTGCCAGAATTCTAGAGTTCAGATTAATGACGTCAGGACCCACGAGGGCGGGGGCGATTGGATTTATCTCACTGAACCCCCTCCCCAGAAATCTTGTGATGGACCAAAAGTCCTAGAATTTGGCTTTCAAAAAGCCTACTTCAAGGAATAGGCCCAAGAAAATCAGCACTAAGCCCAGCTCTTGCTCGTTACAGCAAGAGGGCAGGTGGCGACCATCGGGCGGCCGGGCATCCGTGCGCCCTCCTGCCCCGGGGCGGCCACAGTGGTCCCGTCACCCCGCCAAAGCCCTCCGCAGGCTCCCCGAGGCGCGATGAAGTCCTAGCATCGCAGACAAGCTGTCCCGTCCCGTCCTGTCCCCCACGCCCCAGCCCCGCGGGCCTTTGGGCACCTCCGCAGGTGCTCACTCCGTCCTCTCTCGGGCGTCCCTAGGTCTCGAATCCGAGCCCACGAATGACTCTTTCGCACTGCCCAGGTCTCTGCCCAAGTGGCACTGCTTCACCTGGACCGTGGGCACGGGCCCGGTGTCTCAGGGGGCCGCAGTGGGGCTCTGAAGCGCCGTGGGCGCATGTGAAGACGCGCGGGCTCCGAGCACCTGCTGCAGCCGCACGGCGGGGCACGCTGACCAAGAGCGGTGCTTCTCGGAGGGCCTCCGGCGGCGCCGAGCCGCCGCCGCTGGGAGGCCCCTG